TACTGATTCCTCTCAATACTAAACAAATCAGGCCATGGTTATCTAACATAAAAAAATCTTTGAGTACTTCCTAAAGATCTGGAATAGTTAAATTATTATTATCTTAATGAAATTTATATGCCATCTGACTCCCAGTGATGCTGAGCAGTTTGGAATTTATTAAAAATATTTAAAAACAAAGGACAATACAAAAAATAGAAAAACAACACAAAATGAAGGAACAAAGATGGCAAAGAAAAGAAACCCTGATGAGAACAAAGGGAAAGAAGGAAGGGGGCTTCAATCATGTTTCTCAAAGGCCTAGGTGAAGAGCCAGGTCTTCAAGACCTTTCAAAATCCCAATAGGTTGGGAACAATGAAAATCTTGGGGGAAACCTATTTCCAAAGGGCAGATATTGTGACAGAGAAGACATGATAACCAGGTACCAACAGATGGCATTGTTTAATCAATGGAACCCAGAGCCGTGGATTTCACTCAGTTATTGAAGGTCTCCTAAACGATTTAATCCCTTTTTCCATCTCTCCATAGGCTTCGTTAGTTGCAGTTAGCTAAGACATACTTTATGTCATGTTAAATATGCCATTTGAAAGCGTATCTCAATTGACTACTTTCGCAGTAAAGGAGAAAGAGCCAGATGGTGCCCTGTTCCAGAACGTTGCTATGACTTTTTCCTGTTGAGAATTGTTATTTCCTCCCCCACCCCATCCTTGCACTTTGGGAATCCCATGAGCTCCGTTCACTGCAGAAAACATCTTTTGGGACAAATAGTAGTGTTGCTCCAAATCATTTTGCTGTGCAGATGGTGAATAAGATGGTTATGAAGGAGTCCTGTAAATAACTCAATAATATTAATTATTTCACACTGTAAGTTTTTTGTGTTCATATTCTCCATTCACAGGAACTGTTCTGTAGGGCACTAATATATGCTACAAATAAATGTATTTTAAATTTTGGTGCTATAATTTAGACAAGGTAAAAAAAAGACTACAATAATTTTTAGCAGCTAAATTGCTTGATGTACTATTTAGATGTACTAATCTTTAAGAGGAAGCTTTACATAAGACAAAGATCTATAGAGAAATATGCAAATCAGATCCTACCACTTTCCTAAATCCTTTTAATCCAGTGCTCAGTGTCAACTATGACCCAATTCTAAAAATGTTAGTGAGTTCAGCCTCTTAATCACATTATCCAGCTTGCCTGTCACAAACTTTGAAAGGAAATAGATAAGGAACATAACTAAAAATGTTGATAACATCATTGCTTTGGCATATGGGTCATTATAAAGGAGTTAGGTTCATGGGATCCTTGTCTATGTTACTAAGAACATTTAAAATAAATATTGATATTTCTTGATTGCAGCTTGTAACAGTGTGTTCAAGGTTTGATATTAAAGAATGTTTCACCCAGGCATGAAAAGTAATCATCAAATGAAAATCATTGATTTTTTTTTAAAGAATGTCAAACATTAAGTACATAAAAAGAGGCTTCTAAAATAACTGCAGAAGATTGCCTATTTTGCAATCCATGCAGTATGTTACCTGGTCAGTGTGCAATTCATATAATGGCCAGTAAGGTATCTATGGGAAGTCTATAACAAATTGTCCACAATATTATCCCCTGGATGGCACAGGAATGCCCAAGAGAACATTCCAAGTGTTTGAGTTTGATGTGCGTATGTGTGTTTATTTGATAGAATGGACCTACTGTGTCATTATGCAGAAAAAATGTCATTATGACACTTGTCAGCGACAGCTGACAAATGGCAACAACAAAATATGGAAATAAAAGCTGCATGTTATATTGTCTCCAAATATTGCGTATTTGGACTTCAAATCCCTAGTCCAGAATACCATGGTGCACATAGTGATGGATGCCCCTAAATTTGCCTATATAGCATCTCTATTGAGCAAGATGCAGTGGCTCCCAGTTTCCTTCTGGGTGCAATTCAAGGTGCTTGTCGTTACCTTTAAAGCCTTATATGGCACAAGACTAGGTTATCTATGTGATTATTTCTCCCTAAGAACATCTACCCATCTTACCAGACCAGAAAAGGTGGGAATGCTCCTAGACTCTTCCCTTAAACATTGTTATCTTATGGAAACTAGGAAGATCTCCTTTTCCAGGGCATCTCCTACCCTGTGGAACATCTTTCTTCTTGAACTTCAGCATGGCTCTACCTTCTTAGCCTTCCAAAAAGCAGTTAAGATCTGGTTTTTCCTCCAGATGCCAAGATAGGTGAGGTGGATGAAAAGATTTAATGAGGACTCTATATTGGAAGCTTAACTTTAGTGCCAGATTTTTCATTGTCTGGGAGCTGTCCAGAATTTGATATACCATAAGATGGGCAGCAATATAAATGTTTTAAATAATTTTTTAAAACCCTGTAATGACCATTATTAAGAATGTGGGGAGATGAAGTCCACACATAGGAAAGGTCGCAAGTAGTGGAATACTGAGGTACATGAAAACAAACATTCAAACAAACCTTTCTATATACCACAGATGGTGATTTGGGGGTAGGGGTGGGGCAAATTATTACAACATGATACAGAAATTCATCAACACCAAAAAAGAAAAAAGAAACTTAAAAAAACACTCATGAAGAGAAAATGTAGCAAACAAAAAAGCCTATTCTGTAGAAGTAAAAATAAAATGAAGAGTATTTAAGTTGTTAATTATGGGAGAAACAACTGTTTAGACTAGCTGGTGGAAGTTTTAACCCATCTAAGTACAAGTATTTTTGTGCTTCACAACCATTATGCTCACATATCTCCTGAGCATTTTTATTCTTTTTTGAGATTCAAATAGGATAAAGAAAGGAAAGGAAACCTGCACTGAATCATTATCCATATGTAATTTCAAATGCTGAAGCATACTTTGAAAGAAATCCCTTCTTTGTTTGATGCTTGGGCAATTGCTTCCTTCCAAACACCATTTCTCTTGAGCAAATGTTAGTGTAGTTACTAAGCTACTTGAATAAAAAAATATCTCTTACTGTAGTTCAATGTATGATTGAAAGAACAAATCAATAACACTATATTGGACACTGAGTGGTTCTAATGGCATCTCTGATAATGAAAAAGGTCCACTTATTTTTGAAGTCATAATTCAAACAGATACCTTTGGGATGTTAGAAAGAGAAAAGAGAACTCACTATTGGAAAATCATATCTATGGTTACATCCACACAAAGTCTGATATTTATTAACTTCAGATATTAATAATGAAGCCAGGGAAGATATTCAGCACAAGGCAGCAACCTGCAAACCAGTGCTGAACAAGAGTGGAACTAGTTTCATCTTGCCTTTATATTTTGCAGAACAAAGAATGAAAAAGTGACATGGAAAGCATACAGATTTCATAATTGTTCATTCCAAGGCAGATTTTGCATACAAACCAAGAAATATCTTCAAGAAAAAGCAAAGAAAGTCCAATTGCCTCTTGAAAAAACACCTTTGGAACAACCATGATTTAAATGATTGAAAATCTCCAAAGACAAACCAAGAAATGAAAAACAAAGCAAAAGGAATTCACAACAATAAATACAACAAAAACAGTCAGGGACAGAACATGCTGTAATAAAATTAGGCCATATATTAGCAGTGAATTTTCTACATTAATTTGTAATTTTTAAAAAAGTATTTTGAAGCTGCCAAAGTGGGAAAAGCAGAAAAGGGAATTAATACTGCCCATGCATCTGCAAATATAATTTGGGGCATTTATTCCAAGGTAAGGGATGTAAGATAGACCCCATGCATTATCTTGGAATCCAGAAGGACCTTTGAACAAAAGGTTATGAGTTATGCATCAGTTACGCCCTTTCCTGGACCAACAACCTTGTTCATAGCCACCTCCTGTCTTGACTCCTGCAATGCACTCTACAAGGGACTATTCTCAAAAAGTACCAAGAAGCTTCAATTGGTTCAAAATGTGGCTGCCCACATGGTTTTGTACAATACTAGATTTGCACATTTGTCACCTCTCTTGAGGGAACTGCATTGGCTGCATTGCTTCTGGGTCCCATTCCAGATCCTGATTCTCATCTTTAAAGCCCTACATGGCCTGGGACCAGGTTATTTTTTTCAGTTACATCAGTCCAACACACCAGAGCAGGGAGATAGGGATGTTACAGCCACCCTCCTAAGGAAGTCCATCTAGTGGAACCAAGAAGAAAGGCCTTCTCTATGGTGGTTCTCTCTCTGTGGAACATCATCTCTGCTGAAATAAGATTGCCCCCCACTTTGACTCTTTTGAAAGGCCCTGAACACATGGTTTTCAGGGACGCCCAAGAGTGATATGGAGTCCATCAAGTGATTGATTTCACTGTTATCACTAGGGTGACAGGGGTTTATTGAATTTGTATTGAGTTTATATTGAGATTTTAGTTGTATAAACTGTCCAAAGTCACCATGAGTAAGTTTGATGGCCATATATGGTACGTTTTCTTAATAAAAAAAAAAAAGTTAATAAAGCCCACATTTTACAGCAATTATCATCTTCAAAATGCACCCAAATTAAGCAGAATCATTGGTTTGATCAGTTTAAGCTATTGTATTTGCTAAGAGACTCCAGTCTCCTTTTGCTTGCTATATTCCTGTGGATTTTTCCTCTGATATCTGCTACACTTAATTTCTGACATTGCCACATTTGCTTAAAAGAAATTACTGAGTCTCTTTTATATTTTGTAAAATGCTCCATCAACTCTATCAGATGTTTATGTTGCAGGATGTGTTTATTTAAATATGGTGTGCAATTTTACTGAGGTAAAAAATGTTTAAATAGCATTGTGATAACACTAAAATTGGTTGCATCTGTGGGAAGTCAGCCCCCCCCCCAGAGAAGGAAATATTAAAAAGGCAGAAAAGCATGCCCAGTTTTCTTAATAGCCCCAAGTCTCCCTCCCCAAGCAGAAACCAGCTCAATAGAAATGCAGATGTAAATAATCCAGGAAGGTTGGAGGCCCCCAGCTAGAAGCTTAGGAGACAAAGACAACTAATCTACATACCCCACCCAAACTCTTAAGACAAAACATAATAGGATTAACCCACAGATGCCAAAGGGCACACTCAGACTCAGGTCAAAGTTCATGCCACAAGAACACTCCAAACAAAAACCTCAAGAAGGTATGAAAACCCATTCTCTACACGTGCTCGCTCTCTTTTCTTCCAAAGCCATCTTCCTGTCTGGCTCTCCTCTTCAAGAAGCTGCAACCTTCTTTCTAAACAGTCACCATGTTGTTTATTCCCGGCTTGGACTGAACCACAATGAAGACTTTTCCTTCAACACATCCCATTTTTGTTGCAAGAACACAAATTTCCTTTCTAACTGGTAAAAAGTGATATATTCAAAATAGGAGTTTGTTGCTGGGCTTTAGAGAGTAGTGCTGCTGGTTGTTTTTATTCTGGTCTTAGCTATGTTTTCTGGATATTTTAATTTTTACCATTATCTATTCTGAGCATCACTTGTTTGCAAAAAAAAGGCAAAATATATATCTGACAAATAAATACAACAGTTCATGTCTAAATAACATCATCCAGAGCAAAAAATGTATCTCATTAAAATTTATGGGGCCAACTTCTAATTCAGTCTGGGAATAAAGCTAGTTGAAAGGCTTTAGATACTATAGGAAGAGGGCTATATAACTATGGATAGTATCATAACTATAGAGGCTATGCTAATAACTATAGAGAACTATAGTGCTATTAATTCTGATCTTTTAGTGACATCTCATCCCAAAACAAATAAACTTAGTACCCTAAACTTTAAATGGAACATTTGCTGAGTTGCATCATTTTCACTCATCATCTTATGAAGGATTGAGCTGAAGTGATCTATGTTAATGTTCTCAGCTCTTTTAGTGTGCAATGCACATTGAAGCAGTTTGTACCTAGAGCAAATATGGGTTATGTACTTTTATTTTCCTCAGAGACAAAGATAGAAAACTGGATCTTTCATCTGCCAAAGCCCTTGGCAGAAAGCCTCTTCCATCATAATTATCCTCCATTTTCACTGTAGTGTATATATTTGATCCTCAAATCTTAGACAGGTTATTTCCATTTCTTCTGCTCAAACTTTCACTCATGTATAGGTTTTATATGTCAGCAAGAATGACCTAGTTATATTTAGGGGTGGAGAAAAGGAGGAGAATGCTGGCAACTTCACTCACAATTCACTTTATCTCCAAGGCATTTTAAACAGCTTGCTGGAGAAGAGAAATAACATCAGTACATGTTAGCAAAGGGACAAGTTCCATTTGTATGCATGTCAGGGAAGACACTTGACATTGTTTATTGGTGTAATACAGAGCATCTTGGCTCCTTGCTGCTCCCTGTTAGGCCTTAATTATGTAGCGAATTCCAACAGATAATTTAAGATTCCTATACAACTCTCAAATTACATTGTCAATCATAAATTTTCTGTTTTCCATTCGGATAGTTTGCAGATTATTGAGACTGCTGGAGGTAGGCAGGTTAAAATGATAATCTCAGAAAAGAATATAATGTCTGTTTTGCAATAGTTTTTAGCAAAAAAATAAAGCGTCCTAGCTTACTTTGACAGAGCAATATTTTGCAATATATTTGGGTTATTCATAAAATTCTCTGAATTGCTGAAAAACAATTACCCCATTGCAAATGCATTCCCCAATTCCCTACTACTCCCAGAAATTCCAACAGCAACTTTTGCTTACAAGCACACCCAGACTCCAACATATCTTCAAGCGCCATAGTTCAGACAGAGGAAATAGCAAGTACAGATTCAGACAAAGCTTCCTGTGTTTTCTAGGAACTTCCTCTGTGGCTGCAGGACCCTTTTGAAGTAAGAAACAGATGAAAATTATACAGTACATTGTAAAACAGAGTAAATATATTTTTAAACGGAATACTTTCTATAATTCCTACCTACCCCTTTCTAGAAAAACGAACAAGCAAACAAGCAAGCTTGGGTTTAGTCAATTTTATATGACTGCCCCATCTAGTGTGGCCATTTGCCTTCCTGTCAAAAGATCCTCTGCCTGTGTGCAAACTGCTTAACTTGTCCTTGTAAAAAAGTATTCATAGCCAGTTGAATTGACCCTAAGTGGTGACAAGGGAAAGAATTATTTCTATTTACTTATCATATCACAAAGATAGTATGGCAGTACTAGTAGAAGGGGATAAATAATAACAAGGTCAAACTGATGGGTTTATCTAAAACATTCCAATGTCATGCTGTAATTTACATTATATCTGCCTTTTCCCTTTGTCTTGTCTTTGCAATGTAGCAGGCCAGAGTCCTTTTTTTTTTTAAATTGGGGCTGCTCAGCAAAGTGCCAAATTTTTGCTCATAATGTTATGTTGGATCTTCATAGTGATTTGGTTGCTCTAGATGAGCCAAGGTTTGGCCACAACAGTGACCATCTGTTGAGCAACTGGCAAAATGAACCTGTTCAAAGTTTTTCCCAGCCACAAATGTCATCTACTCTTCAAGTAGGGACTAGGAGTCCAAAAAAAAAAGTCCAGGTTATGCACCAGTCCTGAATGGGGAAGTACAACTCCATCCAAAACCACAGATGAAAACATTCTAACTTAGAGAAGCAAAACAGCCATAAGCACTGTCATATCAGGATCTACCCAAAGTCTATACCTCTTCATTCAGAACCGTGCAACCTCCAGACAATGATTCAATACATAAATAGTTTAATCTGTGTAGCCCAGGGTAAAGAAATAAAGATGGATTCCATCAGCATACTTAGGATTTGTTATTGTTGTTCAGTTGCGAAGATATGCTCGAGGCAAACCACTTCAGCACACTACCTCCCCACTCCTAACCTCTGCAGTCCAGAAGAATGCCATGGTCAATGGATTGAAAGCTGCTGTCCTGTTTCTGGTTTCAATTATCACATACACACAGTTACTATGGAAATTAGCAATTTACTCAAAGACAAAACTATAATAGCACACAAGGAATGCAAACCAAAATACAGTCTTGGCAACCTACTTGCTGAAAGGTTTTGCTTTTAGCAGGAACATGCAGAAGAATAGTCAAAATCCAGTCCAAAGTTCCAAGAGTCAGATCAGCATTATCAGCCAGGCCAGAGGTCAGAATTTCACAAAGAAAATCTGCAAAATGTAACACAAGAGCCAGAGTTCAAACAACTGATTCCAAAGAGGGACCATGTGTTCAGTCTCCTTTTTAAATCAAGCTTCAGCCAGTGGCCTTTAATAAAAGGATTTACTGCCTTACTTGATAAGAAGCTTCATTGAACATGGGAGAATCCACCAGGAAAGTAGCAGCCCGCGCGCCTAACGGCGCGCGAATTATATAATTATATAACTAAAAATCACAAACAGTAGCAGTACATTCAGGGCAAGTGTGTCTGACATCCCCTGTATCTAAAATGTCCGGCTTAGTTCAGTGCAACACCTGCTTTGCAGCTGTCTTTCGCAGTACCCTTTTCAAACTTGGAAACTGTCCTATCTGTAAACAAATCACTAGCCTACAAGGACAGATCATTTACCTAGGGTCTGTAATCCGTGCTCTTCGGGCAGAAATTAGGTGTCCAGTTCAGCCCCTCTACTCTAGTAAGCCTCCCTGCTATCAGCCCCCTTTACCACAAAGATCCTGCAGGAAAAGGGCAGTGTGGACAACCGTGGGATCTGGCAGGGTGAGAGCTGTGAACCATAAACACAAAGCTTTCGCTGTGTCCCTGCACAACAGCTACAGTGCCCTTGCTGACCTTAATAGGGACATTAAGGAGACTGGTAAAGGTATTTGTGAAGATAACTCAAATAAGCAGGGGATTGTGGTCCAAGATGAAGAACTAGATTTTGACAGGGAGAAGTGTGAATCAGGTATTGCACATCAGTCATGCAAGAACAAAAAGGCACCCAAAAAGAGAAGCTACCTTCTGGTAGGTGATTCAATTATAAGGGATGTAAATTTAGGAAAGGACACAGAGGCTTTGAAAGAGGTCAGGTGTCTTCCAGGTGCTACTGCCAGTAGGGACAAGAAGCGTATTTCTAAAATAATCAAGAATGGCAGCAAGGACTGTGATGTGGAGGCTATTGTACATCTTGGCACTAATGATCTGTCCCAAAAAGATGTACTCTCTGTGCAGAATGATTTCCAGAGCTTGGGGAAGGAACTTAGCAGAATAGGCTGTAGGCTTACTTTCTCAGAGGTTTTACCAGTGTATAAGGAGCAAAACGGAAAAGGCCAGCGCATAGCACAATTCAATATGTGGCTAAAGGAGTGGTGTAAAGGGGAAGGCTTTGGATATATTAGTCACGATGTCAGTAGCTGGTCCAATCAAAAGATGTACAAAAGAGATGGTTTGCATCCATCAAAAAAAGGGACTGAGTTACTCGGCTATAAATTCACAGATTTTCTGGAGGGAAATTTAAACTAAACAGCGGGGACAGGGAGTTAATTGATACGGAACAACCCTGTCCCCGGCAATTTAAAAACTATAGGGCTATCAGTGCATGTAGCATAGATGTGTGTGTGGACAAGAATACCAACCTTGCTACCAATCAAAATGAAGCCTCTAATAGCGAGTGCCACATAAAGTGCACTAACCAAATAGGTGGTAAGACAATAGGGGAACTCAGGCACCACACAGGTTATGTAGAAAGGAAACACAGGGCCACCCACAAAGGACTCAAATGTTTATACACCAATGCACAGAGTATGAACAGCAAACAGGGTGAACTAGAAATTCAGGTTAATGAGGGCAGATACGATATTGTTGCCATTACGGAAACATGGTGGGATGAAACTCACACATGGAACACACAGCTAGAGGGATTTAAATTATTTAAAAGAAACAGACCAAATAAAAGAGGAGGTGGAGTTGCTCTCTATATAAGAAATAACTACATCTCCACAGAAATAGAGTACAACAATGATAAAAACTGTCTTGAATGCATTTGGGTCAATATAAAAGGGGGGGGAAATGACATTGCCATAGGTGTATACTACAGACCACCCAACCAAACAGAGGAAATAGATGAACTTTTTGCTAGTCAGCTAACTAAGGTATGTAGGAAGCACATCACAATAGTAATGGGGGACTTTAACTACCCTGACATCAACTGGGAGACAAACTCCGCACCAAGTGGAAGATCAAACAGGTTCCTGGCAAACCTAGCAGACAACTTTGTCTCCCAAAAAGTAGAGAAGGGAACTAGGGGATTAACCATTTTGGATCTAATTCTCACTAACAGAGATGAAATGATAGACGGTGTTGAAGCCATAGGAACCCTGGGAGGAAGTGATCATGCAATATTAGAATTCAACATTATAGAAGCACAACCAATAGAACACAGTCAAACTAGAGTCTTGGACTTCAAGAGAGCTAATTTCAATAAACTTAGAGAGGGCTTGGGAAGGATTCCATGGATGAGAATCCTCAAGGGGAAAACAACTCAAGAAGCTTGGGAAATTTTGAAAAATGAGATAATAAAAGCATAGTCTAGCACAATACCAACAAAGATGAAAAATAACAGCTCTCAAAAGAAACCAGCATGGCTGCATAAAGAACTCTCTGACAAATTGAAAGATAAAAAGGACAAGTATAGAAAATGGAAAGAGGGGAACATAACTAAGTCAGAATATCAGCAAATAGCCCGAGCCTGCAAAGATGAAGTGAAGAAAGCCAAGGCTCAAAATGAACTAAGGCTTGCGACCAAAGTCAAAAATAACAAAAAAAGCTTCTTTCAACATGTAAAAAACAAGAAAAAAGTGAAGGAAATGATTGGTCCATTAGTGGGTGGAAGTGGCAAGAAGGTGACAAGCAACAGGGAGAAAGCAGAACTATTTAACTCATTTTTTGCATCTGTCTTTACACAAAGGGAAAAAACAGACCAACCTATCAAAAATAGTGCCATAAAAAACAAAATAGAAACACAAGTTAAGATAGGCAAGAAAATGTAAGTGAGCACCTGTCCAGCCTAGATGAGTTCAAATCACCAGGACCAGATGGATTACACCCCAGAGTTCTCAAGGAACTGGCAGATGTGATATCGGAGCCACTGAACTATATTTTTCAAAGATCCTGGAACACAGGGGAACTACCAGAGGACTGGAAAAGAGCTGATGTAGTTCCCATCCTCAAAAAAGGAAAAAAAATGGATCCAGGAAATTACAGACCTATCAGCCTGACCTCAATACCTGGGAAGATCCTGGAAAAGATAATCAAACAACGAATCAACGAACACCTAGAGGCAAACAAAGTCATTACTAAAAGCCAACATGGGTTTGTCAAAAATAGATCATGCCAGACAAATCTTATTGCATTCTTTGACCAAGTGACAAAATTAGTGGATCAGAGGAATGCTGTGGATATAATTTACTTGGACTTCAGTAAGGCATTTGATAAAGTAGATCACAACCTACTACTTGACAAGATAGAAAAATGTGGGTTAGACAGAACCATCACCAGATGGATCCGTAGCTGGTTGACCGGCCGTACTCAGCGAGTGGTCCTCAATGGAACTGCATCTATATGGAGGGAAGTGTGTAGTGGGGTGCCCAGTACTCTTCAAAATCTTCATCAACGATTTGGATGAAGGGATAGATGGGGAACTCATCAAATTTGCAGATGACACCAAGCTGGCAGGAATAGCCAACACTCCAGAAGACAGGCTTCAGATACAGAAGGATCTGGACAGACTTGAACACTGGGCACTAACTAACAAAATGAAATTCAATGGTGAAAAAAGCAAGGTTCTACATTTAGGCAAGAAAAACCAAATGCACAAGTACAGCATAGGTGGCACCATGCTCAATAGTAGTAACTGTGAGAGGGACCTCGGAGTCCTAGTAGACAATCACGTAAATATGAGCCAGCAGTGTGCGGCAGCTGCCAAAAAGGCCAACACAGTGCTAGGCTGCATTAACAGAGGGATAGAATCAAGATCACGTGAAGTATTAATACCACTCTTCAATGCCTTGGTAAGGCCACACTTGGAATACTGCATCCAGTTTTGGTCACCACGATGTAAAAAAGATGTTGAGACTCTAGAAAGAGTACAGAGAAGAGCAACAAAGATGATTAGGGGACTGGAGGCTAAAACATATAAGGAACGGTTGCTAGAATTGGGTATGTCTAGTTTAACGAAGAGAAGGACAAGGGGGGACATGATAGCAGTATTCCAATATCTCAGGGGCTGCCATAAAGAAGAGGGAATTAAGCTATTTTCCAAAGCACCTGAAGGCAGGACAAGAAGCAACGGGTGGAAACTAATCAAGGAGAGAAGCAACCTAGAACTAAGGAGAAACTTCCTGACAGTGAGAACAATTAATCAGTGGAACAGCTTGCCTCCAGAAGCAGTAAATGCTCCAACACTGGAAGTTTTTAAGAAGAGACTGGACAGCCATTTGTCCGAAATGGTGTAGGGTTTCCTGCCCAAGCAGGGGGTTGGACTAGATGACCTCCAAGGTCCCTTCCAACTTTACTACTATTACTATTACATTTCTGCTCTACTCACCAGGTTTGGGACTGGGAAGCCTGATGTCATCATCATCTGACTGCTCCAGCTGTTCAGGTAGTATTTGATCAGCCACAAACGATTCTTGAGGGGGGTTGGCTCATGAGGCTGACATGCCACAGATTCTTCAGGAGCAACTTTCTCAAATTCAAATTTAAACTTTAGTAAATGCGTCCGAGATCATGACAACTGCTGAGAAATCAAGGAACACAAGGATGAATACATCATCTCCATCCTATCTCTACTAAATAACATTGTCAGGTGTGATCAACACTGTCTACATTCTACATTGCAGATTGAAATGGGTCCCAATAATCCATTTTTGTAGATTTTTAAAGCCTGCCTTTATTATATTAATGTAAACTCTCCAAGATGATCCTTTGTTGTTGCTATCTAACTACCTTCTCCATAATTTTCCCAAAAAGATAAGATTGGAAACTGGATAATTTTTGTTTAGAATATAGGGACAAAGTAGCAATATCTTGAGAAGTGAGCATACCCTTCTTCCCTTGAAGACACTGATAATGCTGCATGGACCCATCCATTTGGTCACCTCCCAGCCACCCTAACAATTCAGGAGGCGCTAGGATGTAACAGACCTAAGGACCTTATCCATAATCTTAGGAATTATAGAATTACAGAATAGATCTCAATTCAATTAATCTCCTAGGATTGTTCCCCAAGTAACTCATCTGGACTGGCATAGTCAGAGATGGAGTAAATCCAAGCACCCAGTTGCCAAACAATGTGAAAACTCTTCACTGTAGCCCTGCAGGTTGCCTTGCATCCCAGATAACAGGAAGTGGGTCACTCTAAACAAGGCTGTTGGGTGCCTATTCATAGATACAACAAGAGCAGAGGAGTAACAATTTTATAACCCTTTTTACTACAATGTATGTTCAGCTGCAAGGCGTTCAAACCGGTCAGTCCTAGAAGAGATCAACCCCGACTGCTCTTTAGAAGGCCAGATCCTGAAGTTGAAATTCAAATACTTTGACCACCTAATGAGAATGAAGGACTCACTGGAAAAGGGCCTAATGCTGGGAAAGATTGAGGGCAATAGAAGAAGGGGACGACAGAGAATGAGATGGCTGGATGGAGTCACCGAAGCAGCAGGTGTGAACTTAAATGGACTCCAGAAGATGGTAGAGGACAGGAAGACCTGGAGGAACATTGTCCATGGGGTCGCGATGGGTCAGACACAACTTCGCAATTAACAACAACAACATGTTCAGCTATGGCTCTGTCACATTCACTCCTTGTCTTATTCCAATGGTGCTTCATATATCACTTCTAGCCCTTCATTTCCTGGAAGAATCTGTAAATACTACCAAGTGGAAAAAAAAGGTTATATATGCATTATGACACATGCACAAAATGATTCATTTAGGACATCCGGTTTGCCAATGCAGCTGATGTGGATGCTGGAAGGCGAGCTCTGTCTTTCACACTACTAAGAGAACATGGATGAAGATCAGGAACAAATTCTCTTTATATTGAAAGCAATTTATGAAACTATTCTTATAGTTTCTGATGAAATAAGAAGCTACAGAAAAGAACAAGATGTCAGTCTAGATATACGAACCCAAACTTTGATTACAACTAAAGAATCACTACACAAAATATAATAGAAATGGAACAATCAAATGCTATGATAGAAGATTCAACTGATCAACAATCACAGTTAATGGAAAACCCAGAAAAGGGACTGACAACACTGAAAATGGAAAAGACTTTCTATATAAACCAGAAGAAACCTGAGGATCAAGAAGAAGGGAAGGGAAGATAAACATTTCAGGATAACTACGTTGAGATGGAAAAATAGAGAGATGATTTGTTAGCCCTTCCAAAAAAATGGTGATTGGATGGCCTCTTTTATCTCAAACAATATATATAATAACAGAGGGAGATCTACTTGATAACTTAAAAGCACGGATATGGAAGGCGAGTTGGCAAAGAAAGAAAGCTAGAATAAGGCTGAAGAAAATTAGGGTTTTGACTTATGAACGAGGATTAAAATAGAATATACTCAAATAGATAAGATGTGTACTTTGAATACTAGATTTTGTTATGAACTGAGATAAAGAAAACTTTGGTCATTTAAAACTTGGATGTATAAATATTAAAAGTTAAATTTGAATATTGATTTGTTTATAAAGGTTGAATGTAAAAGTAATTAATATATATATATAGATTTAAAAATCTATTGATAAATGTAATAAACATTTTTACTTAGCTGATATAATAAGAACTGTACTAGCTTAAATATGAGATAGTAGACATTAAGAGAAAAAGAGAGGAAGTATTTGATGTTGAAACAAGAGAAATTTTGGTTACTAAATTCAATACATTTGGAAATTAATAGAAAATAAGAATGTTATACTGTATTATTAATTAGATGATGTAAGATGGTGAGAAATAGAATATATTCAAATACATAAGACGTAGATCCTGAATATTAGACTTTGTGATGAATTGTGATAAAGGGAAGTTTGGTTACTTAAAACTTGGAAATTATAAACATTAAATGTTAAATTTAAATAGTAATGGGAAACTAAAAATTGGGAAAAACTAATTAGGACATTGATTGTCTATAAAGACTGAATGTTAAAATAACCAGGATATGTATAAGCTAAAAATTATTGATAAATGTAAAAATGTTATTTTTATTTAATTGATATAATAAGAATTGTATTAGTTTAAACTAAATACTAAGTAAATACTAAGGGGAAAAGAGAGGAAATATTTAATGTGGCAGTTTGAGACTTGTATGTCATTAAATTATTGATTAACTCAGCTGCCACCTTGCTTTTTAAATACTTAAATGTAAAATTAGAAAATCAATAAAACATTATAAAAATGACTCATTTAAATACATTGTATCATTCTGAAACATGTTGTAGCTTTATTCATTTATAAAATTACTCAATATTTCCAAAATGTGAACTAAAAGCAATTTTTCTGGGTTTTTTTAATAAATAGGTCCAGGAGGGTGGCCTCAAAAATTTTAATCTGTGACTCGGTTTCATTTGTCTTATTTTAAAATACTGAGTCAGTAGCTTTAACAGATTTAGTCAGTCAAAAGAAAAGTGATACTACAGCCATCTTTCTATTTCTTTCAAAAACCTGGACTTGGGTCATCTGAATTACCATATTTTCTGGCGTATAAGACGACTTTCTAAACCCTGAAAATCTTCTCAAAAGTCCGGGGTCGTCTTATACGCCGGGTAGCTGTTCTCTGAATTTAAAACCAATCTGCCCCCTAGTGGCCAGCCCTATTTTTTTTACAGAAATAAGCACTAACACAGTGTTTCTCAACCTTGACAATTTTAAGGCATGTGGACTTCAACTCCCAGAATTCCACAGCCAGCAGGACAAAGCATTCAAAAATCCCATTTTTCTACATCGCCCATCACTTTATTCTTTTTCAGGAAAAGCAATTAAATAGTAGAAAACAGTAAGCTATATAAATTAAGGACATTACATCTACAAAAAAAAGAAACATTCGATTTACTTCTTATACCTATAACAGCAGTCATGAATATATGGAAAAAAATTTTGATTCAGCAAATCAATTGATTAAGAAAGATACAGGTCAAAGGAAAAAGATCAAAGTGAAAATTAAGAAAATAGATGATGGGATCTACCAGAGAGAATATTTAAAAAAGAAACATTTGTTTGAATATGGTTAAAGAAACAGAAAAGATTCTGAATACATATGTCATTCTAAGAGAGATGAATTCCTTAAATAATACTGTATGCTTCCCCCCCCCTTTTATTTTATTTCTTGATATAAGTAATATAATACTGCTGAAATGGCCTAGATGAAGTAAATGTTTTAGATAATTAAATGTGTCTGAATTTAGGGAAATTTATAAAAAAGAAAAAAATGTTTTGAATAAGACCTAAAGGATTAGATGACTAGGCACATTAAATGGAATATTTAAAGATTAAATATATTTTATCAAAATAATAAGAACTATATTATTTCAAGGTTTGCAAAGAAGACATTTTGGGGAAAAGGGGAAATCAACTAAATGTACTATGTGGATTATAGATTATAGAAACCAATTGTTAATGATTTTTCTTTACAAATGTAAACCCAGCAAACACACTGTTTACCAACTATTAAGTGATTTATGTTTTAAAAAATCAATAAAATATATGGGGAAAAAAATACCAGCTGAAGCATTAGGGAAGCAGTGGTGGGCAACACTCGCTTTCTAGCAGCAAAGGAATGGAGCTCCTATTGTGTTCATCTATAAACATAAATTCAATATTGTACCGTATTTTCCAGCGTATAAGATGACTTTCTAAACCCTGAAAATCTTCTCAAAAGTTGGGGGTCGTCTTATATGCCCAGTCGTCTTATACGCCGGAATATACGGTACACTTGTTGCATAAACAGATCAAACAAAGAAATGCTTAAATGAATAAATTAATCATAAAGTCTTAGCACTTTATAATCTGTACAAATAACAGGAATGGATGTTTATTGTATTTTCCCTAACTTCCTTTCCATACTTAACTATGAAGACAGACAATTTAAATGTGTATGAATCCAACAGTTCCTTGAAAGCATTTTAGAAAGATCAAAATAATGGGCAAAGTTCCCTAGTCCCTCTCAAAAACAATTAAGACGTGTATTCCAAAATTCAGAATTGATTACTGTACATTGGATGTCATTGAGATAACCCAAAGAGTTTCAGTGACTTTCACTGAATAATGTTAATGTAATGGCTATTCACTTTGTCAATCCCCCTCCCCATTCCTTTCTTCCACCTGTCAGAAAATCACTTGTCAACAATGAGGAAACCTTGCTGTATGTCTTGCATTCCTTCTTGACTTTGGGATATTTTGTTTGTTTTTGTCTTTTTGCATAATAAATACTCCAGATAAGAATTTTAATGCATACAAAAGCTTTCATGTTATGATTTTTTAATCAATGCTATTACTATATTTTATTTTTCTTATATGTTTTTTCCAAATCTATTGTACACTTTTCTAAAGAATTACCTGAATCATGAGAAAACACAGGCTTAAACAATTTTATTTGGTAATGTATATTAACAAACAAATCATTCTCTAGTCTCCTAAGGTTCCTACCAGGTTCAATGTTCCTTCTTAATCAAATCATGACACTTTTCCATATCCTTCACCCACAGCCTTGCTCTGTTTTATTCACAGAGCCTTCTTGTCCTGTTCTAGCTCCAGAGTTAGTACCATATTTCATGTTTTCATTGGATGTACTTATCACATAAGACTACGTGATGCAGGAGGAAGATTATATATTTATTTATTTACTTGATTTATACATTAGACTTAACTATATTTTCCATCTCTTCGCTTAAAAAGATGGTCATATTAAATAGCCATGAAAGATAAATAATTGAAATAACTCCTGTTTTTAAAATAATACAAATCCAAATTTGTATTATCAGCCATTGGTCAAAGAGCAACTTTTGCAATAAAGATCTTCTAGATATTATTAAAAGATTCAAAACCAAACAGAAGTCACAGCTTTTATAACGGAGTAAGAATATGTTGGGAAGCACCCAGATTGGCAGGGAGTAGGGATCAAGTGCAAAGCCAGTTTAGAGCTAGTCACTGCAAACTGTAAAAGGGCTAGAATAAGTCCTTCCCTGAATCCCTTCTCCTGTATTATAGGCAGAATATAACAAAATAGTTAGCTTGAACTCTGCATGTGAACTCTGCATGGGTCTGGTTATTCGCGCTTGACAGAAAATAGTATACAAAACAAAAGAAATAGTATAATTGTATGGATTTTTATTGTGTCAGAAGAATTTGCTACTGCCTGCTTACAAGGTTTAAATTTCAAAAATGACAAGGTGTACTCATTTTTAAATAATAAGATGTTAGTACAAGAATCCAACTTTCTAGGTGCACATTATATATTGTTACTCTGACCCATCACTGAACATGTTAAATTAGTACTGGTTTTTCAATTTCCTTGGTTTAGAACAGGGGT